GAATTTAGGCCAGGTGGGTGTGCAATATCCTGGTTCTATCCATAGGAATGCAGACGCAGAAAGGAAATATTTTAAGCATGAAATATGGTGTTTTCTGAGTTTCCTCATCAGTCCAATGGAAGTGGTAGTGTATTACCTATTTAATAGCGCAATTCTAAGGACTATATGGGTAGATAGATATAAATATAACATTTAGCACAGCACTTGGTATATAGTAGGTGCTCGGTAAATGGTAGTGATTACTATAATCAACATTATTTCACACTATCCAATTCCAATAGATGCTGTTGGTGCCATACCCAGACTACTTTTACCAGACACTGCACCCATCCCCCAGCTCTGGGAATTGAGTGCTAACAGCTCACAGCTGCCCCCTTCTCCAGAGAATTGCCCTCCACTGAAACAAAAGCTGTGTTCACCAGGCAGTTACGGCTCCCTTCTCCCAAGGGACAGCTCACAGTCAATGACTGATTCATAGGAGAAAAAGAGTTAGCCTTAAGATGGCACCAATCCTAAAGCTCATGGTAATCAAACTGCAGCTAGTGCCGAGCTGGGCTCACATGTTGGCATTTCCCCTGCCTTTTTTCTGCTCCTCCCACTCCCTTTCTCCTGAGAGCATGTCCTCAATAAATCGCTTAGACAAGACTCCTCGTCTCCAGCTCTGCTTCTAGGGTATCCAACTTAAGACATGGTTACTTGGAGACAGCTCCCCTTCCTTGTCTATGCAATAATGAGCCATTTTGCTCATTGTGGTTCTGCTATTCAGATCCTTGGGTAAGTCATATGATGCTCCTAGCCAGAAGAGTAAAATGGCTTTGCCTCTCCAGCTGGCTCATCCACATCACACCTATCCAGTCAGAGAGGCTGAGTGCTCTTTATCTTACATTTTGCCTAATTCTTCCTGGCCAAGTCTATTCAATTAGCTTGGCTTGCTCTTTAAATCAAATAATCACACTTTTGACCACCAAACTCGAATTTCAGGGAAAACATTCATTCATCTGTCCATCCATCCATCCATCCAACCATTGAATAGTTATGGAGTGTTGTCCAAGTAGCCAGGTATTGTGCTAGGCACATGGCTATAACATAGATAAGACAGAGTACTTGCCCTCCAGGAACTCATTCTGGAGGGAGAAATGGACAAGCAAATAGGCAATTGTAAATGAAGTTTATGATCCGTGCTCTAATATGATGCTAAGAGAACACAGAGAAGCTCCTATATCAGGCTGGAGGTTTAAAACGCTTGGTTTTTTATTGTGGTTGACCTACACACAAATAAATAGAATGGAAATCTCCTAGAACACTGCAAACCAGAGTGGTTACTTCAAAGAATAAGGTGTTACAACATAGAAAGAAGTGTAGTTTTAAGCACAAAGAATGGCTGCCTAGTGATGGGCAGAATAACAAGATATAAATGCAAAGGACTCTGCCTGCTGTGTTATTACTGCTGTAGCTTTGCTCCCACTCAAATGCTCACTTCCCCCAAAGAAAGGGAAGCCAAATTACGGTTTCTGCCTGGGGACTGGCTAGATCCGTGGTAATCAAAACCAAGTTCTCCCACTGGCTTTCCACCACCGTCATGGCTGATGGCCCACAGGCACAGTCAGGATGCAGGGGTCTCACTGCACAATTGCCTTATTGTTGCTTATTCCTCCCCTGCTGTTCATCAACCTACTCCTGCAAGACACGCAGAGGTGATAGCATGACTATGAGGTTAGGAATGGTAATTGTTCTATGTTGATATTAGTGTGGCTGGTGCTAATGTGAAAATAATTACTACTCTGTGCCTTTATGGCCATTTTCATTGCCCTCTGGTGGTTATGCACTTATTTGGCTATAGATGGTAATGATATAATGCATGGTGGCTATTATTGCTTTAGCTATACAACTGGGGAGGGAGGGGGTCAGAGAGGAGGAGGTGTTTGGGAAGGGCTGGGACTTAATAAATCATTTATTTATTTTCTTGAGAATTTTTTTTTTTTTTTTGTCTTTGCAGAGAGTCCTCTTTGGCTGTAAGAATATAAAGTCCTAAGAATACCAGTGATTTGGTGATCAAGAACCCCAAGAACTTATGCACAAGTCAGCGCTTTTGGTGATTATGGGCTGAAGTCTGAAAGATAAGAAGCGATCCTTATCTGAAAGATAAGAAGTGAGAGGAGCACTGATTGTAAGCCTTGCAGTTGGTCTAGATTCCTCTGTCTCATGTATTCTCCTGTGTAGTCTCCTTATTGGCTACAGAATAAAATAATGAACTTTCTGAGATGCTTCAAGATCTAATTTCTGCCCACCTTTATAACTTCACCTCCTTTCCCATTCCCTTGTCATTCCCAATAGCCTGTGTATGACTCATTGTTCTTCCCCAGGTCCATCATGCCTTCTCCTCACATGCTGCTCTTACTCCCTGGAATGCCCTCATCCTTCAGAGGCTAGTTCATCTGAGAGCCACCCCTGACTCTGCCAGGCAAACATGATCACATCTTTCCTGTGCACTGGGTGTTCTTCCTAACCACACTGTATTGTAATGGTGTATTGGTTCACCTGTTTCCCCATAAGGCCGTGAACTTCTAGAGGTTCATGAGGTTTTTCTCTTTAATTTCCAGTACCTGGTAAAGTGTCAGGCACATAGCGATTATTTAATATGTGCTGCAATAAAGGAATAAAGTGGGTTTCCTCCTCATGGGCTAAATGATTAAAAATGGATTAAATGGATTAAAATGATAAATCAATTATACTTTATAAGGATCATACAAGATGTTTTTATCAACATACAGTTACAGTTACATAATCACATGTTAGAAGGCCACTTTCCCCTTCTTCATGGACCTCACATATGCTGTTCCCTCTGCTTAGGACACTCTTACTTTCTCTTCATGTAATTCCAGCGTAAATGTGTATCCCTTAAAGAAACTCTGATTGAGCACCTTTCCAATCGTTATCACACTAGTCTGCGTCCCGTTATAAATCCCCATGGCATCTATATGTTGTTTTCCATTTTATTTATACAAATTATAATTAGAAAATATTTGTTTAATTATTTTTTTAGTAATTGTCTTATCTACAAAACATTAAGCTCCTTGAATGCAGGGGCTATATTTGTTCTATTCACCACTGTGTTCCCAGGCCTGGTATATTGCCTTGCCTACAGAGAGTACACAATAAATATTCCAAATAAGGAACTGAAAAAAGTCCCTAAAGTAAGACATACTTCTGTTATCTACTTATATGCACACATTAAAAGGTTACATAACTATATCTCTTTTCAGAGATAAGCTGAAGTATACGTTTTCTTACATAACATTTCAAGGAACACACTGAAATTTCATCAATTTGGACTAAGGGGAGAAGAAAGGTTCTTTTAAATATGTGGTAAATTTCAACTTCGGGCTTATTCCAGATCAGTTTAATTCAACATCTACTGGGCACCTACTTTGTGCCAGGCACTGTCGTAGACTCAACACAGGGTCTATGAACATGAATATGACATGGCACTTGACTTTGAGATGCTTAAAGCCCTTTTATTCTGTCTCTAGCACAGTGACTGAGCCATAGGAGATGCTCAATGATTCTTGTTGTTGTTATAATGAATGAGTAAATGAATAAAACTAGTGTTTTTAATTAGAGATCCTGCAAGACTATTTTTAATGGATTGTTTACAATTAGGAACACTCACTCTAGAGAGATCTAGACCCTCAAAGTTCCTCCGTCTTTTTCCTTCAATCAACTAAGTTAAAGTTCCCCTCATATATTCGAGATTCTGTAAGATTTAGCCATATGAAGTTACCATTTTTGTGCATCAAAAAATGACTATCACACTTCACATGTGTCAATCTAATACTTAGAAAATCCACTGCTAAGGATGGTGCCAAGGTGACCATCAAAGTGTCTATATTTAAATGTTCCAGATTCCAAATGAAAGAACTGTTTTCCTTATCTTGGCCTGGGTCCTCCTGGCTTATATCTTCAAAGCTATTCAGAAGGGTCTGCTAAACCCACTGCTTCTTACATTCTCCCTAAGATCATAAATGCTGAGAGTGCTATGCAGAAATAATATGTTTTAGGATCACTTAAGAAAGTTTAGCATTTTATAGGCAATTAATAAAAGCCCAGCACAAAGTAAATGTACACAAAAAGTAAATGTACAAAAGTACATTCTTTGAATGAGAACTAAGCAGCACAGCAGGTATTATTCACATCATAAAGAAATCACCAGTTGGCAGGGATGTAGGAGCTTGTGGGATGGTGGTTGGTGAAGTCCCTTCATTTCTGGAATAAGAGTCACCTGTTTGGCTATTGTCCCTGGGTCTTTAACTCCACTGCCCTGCTCCTGTCCCATGGGGCCAACACCCACAGGCCTGAGCTGTCCTCTGAACTGCCTAATCCACAGCCTCTAAGACTTTATTGCTCATGCCACCCTTACTCCATTTTCCAAGCAAATGGTGTCACTAGCTCCCAGCGTCTTGCCTCATCTCCTGTCTATGGGGTAATTACACTGTTAAAAATCTCACAACCATATTTCTTTACCAGGATTGCCCTAGATTTCCCTCCTTAAGAGAGACTGCATTTTCTCTGGTCACTCAGAATATCATCTCAGGATGTTGACAGAGCACTAGAGATCCAACCCCCAGCACTACCCCTATTTGTCTGATGTTGTCTATGTACCTCTCTGCTATTTCCCAGCCCCAGAGATGGGTGGTTTTTGTCCCCACAAGAAGACCTGGACAGAAATGGGGATGGGAACACAGGATCCTCTAAGTCAGGTTCAAAGATCATCTAATATCATCGTCAAAACTTAGCCTCCATTCAGCTCCCTCTTCACACTTCCTATTTCCCAGGCTTACTGGAAAGGTGGAGGAGAAGCCAGATGAGAGGGGTGAAGCCCAAGACCTTGGGTATTTTTATTAGGCAAGAGTCAAGACTGGCCTGGACAAACAGAAGGGTATTGTGTAGTTCAAGGCCACCACAGCTATAGAAGCCACTGTCACTTTAGCAAGAACTCTGACCTGGTTTCCAGGGAGAATTGTTTGTTGCTTTTCCCTATAGGTATTGTCCTTTTTTGTCCTCCAGAGAAATAAATCCCTGCTCCCATTGCACAGGATTTAACCTTCAGTTTGAGTCCTTGGTCTCCTCTCAGCTACCAGGTCCCACCTCCCTCTCAATCTTTCTTTTTCCTTGTTCTGTGACACTTGCTGAATGGGGCACACAGAGTTTGCAGTCACTGCAGTACACCTTGTGATTGTGAGGTAATTGGATATTATCACCTCAGAAAGTCTTCAAAATTATCATGAGGAAGTGAGGCATTCTTCTCCTGGCAGGTTATCTGTGTGGTTAGATAAGATGACTGCTACATTCCATTCCAACCATGTCATTCAGCCATTCTTCCATAGTGGGCACTTCCATGAAGACACTGAGGGATGTGACAGTCCAAAGCGCTCACCTAAAACAGAATTCCAAACATAGAGTCTATACTTGGGTTTCTAATCATCAGTCCATATGTAGTCTGTCCACCATTAAGGGCTAGGTTTCCTCTCTCTTTTGTTTTTCTTCCTCCTGCCCTTCAGGAGTTTTAAGAAAGTCCGAGGCATCTTGTAGATGGTGACAAAAGTATTCATTATCAAAGAGGGTTCTTGTCACAAACCCATTTTGTCATACACAGTGTAAAGCACAAATATTAATACGCATGGCTTTATGAGCTAGATTGTTTGGGTATAAACCTCAGCTCTGCCCATTTTTAGCTTTTTAAACATGAATATGTTATTTAACCTCTCTATGCCTCGGTTTTTCATCTACAAAGTGAGGATTTTAATAGGATGTAACTCGCAGGTCACTGTGAAGACTAAACATACAGCACTTAGAACAATGCCTGGCAAAAGCTGACAAAAAAAAAATTCCAGTATTGGTAATAGTAGTAAAAACAGTATTTGCCTCAGAGTTTTCCGGCGGTGTTTCTCCTACGTGAGAACTCCCGGAACCCCTTGAATATTACCCTGAACCCTCTGAGCTCTCTGGCACCCGAGACTGGAAGTCAGAAGACCTGGGACCTTCTGAGGCTACACACAGACTATTCACGAACAACCTACCACGGGCCAGTCCTGGCGCTAGATTCTTCTCCTGTTATTTTATGTATTCTTCACACCGGTTTCACAAGGTGGCTATAATTTCCCCCATTTCACAGATGAGGAAGTAAGCTCACAACAGTTGAACCACTGAGCCAATGTTACCAAGCCCAAAACACGGTTCTGTCAGGAACCATTATTAAAATCCCAGCACGCGGTTCTTAGGGAGAGTCACTCAACCTGTGACCCGTAACTTCTCCTGCCTGTAAAGCTGTCATATCCCTGCCGTGTCCATCTCACGGGTGAGAATCCCAAGAGAAAGCGTTTAGGCAAGTCGGCTGTAGGCCGTGAAACGTCAGCAGGGATCGGAACCAGCACCGTAAGCACAAGGAAGCGCCCAGAAGCGTCAGCAGGAGACGCCAACGCCGGGGGAGACTCCGGATCCCACCTCCCGGCCGGACCCTGGGGGCGGGCGCTCGATTGAGTGGCAGGAGCACAGGCCAATAGGGCTGCGGGAGGCGGTGGGGCGGGGCTGCCCCCGGGCCGCGCTCGGACTTGTGGGAGGGCAAGCGGGCCCGGGGCTCGTCGCGGTCTTTAGCCCCGCGGAGCGTTTGTTGGGCGCCGGTCTGTGGGTTTTATCAAATACCCAGGCGGTCGCAGCCCGCGCTGAGAGGCCTGGCCTCAGTGTGAGGAGACTGGCGAAAGCTCGTTAGCGAGAACAGCAGGTTGCTGGCGAAGTCACGACGTGGTGCAAGTGGCCTCAGCTGGCTCTCGGGCTCTGGAATCCGGGTGTCTGGGCAATTGGTGGTTGTGATCAAGACCCAGGGGACCCCGGCCGTCCGCTTCCTCTGTCATTCCTGAATGTTCCAGGCCCTACTGGGAACTAGGGAAGGCTGGGGAAGGAGCGGGGATGATTTTCCTACCGGAAACACATTTTCAGTCATCGTAGAAGAAGAAATCCGGACGGCAGGATCTTGGCTCTCACGTTTTGATATGATCCAGCCCCTTTGCTTCTTACAGCTGCCACCACCATTCTCTCGCATGCTTTTTATCGCCATAATTCTGACTGGATTTCCTGCTCCAAGATTTGCCTGTTACTGTCAGTCCCACCGGGGTCCACAATGATTGGTGTTAAATGGTCAGGATATTCCCCTGCATAAAACCCTTCTGTGATTTCCCATTGCCCTCAGGATAAAGGCCTGATGTTGAAAGAACGTGGCTTTCAGGGCAATAGAGGTTCTGGCCTCCTGCCCCAGCCCCATCTCCAGATACTTTTCATTCCCTTTCCCCAGTTAAGCGTGTGTGAGATAAATAAATGAATGAGTTATTTCTTGAACTATCAGCAATATTGTCAGAAGAGAAGTCCTCCATAATTTGAAAACTCATTGTGTTCGGTAATCACCTGAGTTGGAGAAGTCAACTCTGCCCTGGCATCCAAGAAGCCTCAAATCTAGTGCTTGCTTATCTGCTCATTTTATTGTGTCATCTGCCACATATTTCTTCCAGTCTCTGTTACTTTATTTATAAAATCGAGCCAGTGAAGTAATGTTTCCTATTATTTTTACTTTTTCAAGGTATTTCAAAGATAAATCTAACAGTACATGGAAAAGGATTATAAATTCAGAGTATTGTTAATATATGTCCATTATACCCAGGTACGTTCCATTAATTACCTTTAAATCTTTTTCTGGGTCATGTAGAATCTCTACTTTATATACATTGTGTAATACCTGAGGTTTATTTTTGTATCAGGCATGGATTTAAAGCACCCCACAGGTACCTTTTCCTACGGCTGGATCTGAGGAGCGGGCCTGACTTGTAAGCCTTGTCCACTTGTGCTCACTAGTTACTGTACTTAACAGAGGGACCTAGCGAGAAAGTAAGATAGAAGATGCCAGCTAAGGAGTCCTGCCTGGATAAAGAAAAGATGGCTCTGTCTTAAGGAAACCTTGAAAATTAATTCCTTTTGTGCCACATATAATGATTGCCCTCAGAGGAATTGGAATAGCATGTAAAATACTAGAATGTGGGATCATGGGCTGTTGTAGATCCCTGCTCATTCTATGTTCTTAATCACCTCATTGTCTCTGCCTTCAGTGCCCTTTCCCAGCCTGGGGTTCATCTCTCCTTTTCTTCCCCCAGCCTCCTAACATATATCTTTCACTTAGCTAACTCTCAGAAGGTATAATAAATATTGAATGAATCAATGAAGAAATGAAAGGGTGATGGATGGAGGGAGGGGGGGATGCATGGATGGACACCAGTGGACACGAAGCCAGAAGATCTGGGTTCTTATATGGATTAACCAATAACCTTATGAAGTAAGTAGAGAGCAATTATGGGTCGTATTTTACAAGTGATGAAACTAAGCTTCAGAAAGTTACATGACTTGGCAGGGTACACACTGTTCAAAAGTGACAGAACTGACCTTAATTTTTACATTTTTCTTCCCACAACATCGTAATTCTTGAAGGTAAGAAAGACTTAAGTTCCACATTTCAGGCTGAGAACAAGCTGAGAAAAGAACACTAATATGCCTGTCTCCTTCACCTCCTCCTCCCCTAAGCAAGTGATTTCAGAGGCAAGCCAGTACTTACAGTCTAATTTTAAAGACAGGTCTGGAAAGTAACACCTGTTGGGAACATGGTAAAGAAGAACTAGACATAATGAGATTTCAGCCCATTTTTGCACCGACTTCTAATGGAAGATTGAGTACAGTTCTTTGCTTATGAAAGGAACCTGTTTCCATGGCAGAGGAGGAACTGGGGGAAGAAAGAGAGAAAAAAAATGGTAAAAGCATATTTTCTCAGAATCATTTCTCCAGATACACTGAACAGTTCAAAGGGTAAAGGCAGTTCAGTGACGAGGAGTATGGCAGTAGGTGAGCTCTGAGAAATAGAACAACTCTTTAGGTCTCATCCAAGGGACAAGATAAATGAGAAACTTGGGCTTGAAAATGTTTCACTGAGCTCATGAACCTGCCCTATTTCATTTACTGTGGCTCAAATCTCTTCATTTAGACCCTGAAACTAGACTTCCTGCATTTTAAACCCTGGCTCCACCACTAAACTAGCTCTGTAGTCATGGGCATGATTCTTTCTGTCTATTCCCATCTATAAAGTGGGTATGATAATAATGAACACCTTCCTTGCAGGTTGTTGTGAGAATTAATGAATTTGTTTATACTAATACCCTTTGATCAATGTCTGGCATATTATAAATGCTATTGTCACTAACATCATTACAGCTGCTTCTCGATAATTGAAGTGGGGCATACACTTTAAGACTTTATTTTCAATTGCATCAAAAATGGAGGAAAAATTAACAAGATCACCTGGAGCACTTTTACACATCTGGCCTTCCTCTCCATCTCCTATCTCCAACCTTCTGGAAATTCAAACTCAAGAGGTCTATGGTAAGATATACGGATCCATATTTTGAAAGAGCATATCTAAAATGCTTTCTTTCATCTTACACCTCAACCTAACACTCCACTGGAACCCCACTTTAAAGGATTTCTCTGGAGGATAAAAGATATTTTTACTGCACGAGGATTACTCAGGTAATATAAACATGGGCAGGGCATGTACATATTAGTAAGTCCATCTCCCTAGCTAGATTAAAACCAACCTAAGTTAGGATTTAAACTTCTTCTGCAATATGATAAACTGATGAGCCTGCCTCAAACTCACAGATGATATTGTCATGATGATACTCTTTCTTGAGAAACTAAGCCCTGGTGATGTAAAGTTTGGTCATATAGTATTGTGTGCATTAGGCTGCAACCAATTTTTTTTTACTTATTGATCTATTTGGACATCCTTCCAGGTTCATGTATATGGATCTTATTCTTTTTAATAACTGCATAATATTCCATAGTATATAATTTCCGTGTTTTCTTTAGCCTTTCTCTATTGCAGGAAATGTGGATTGTCTGCTACCAGATCTTAACCACCAAATATTATGCTGCAATAAACACCATCCTTACATACTTGGGCATTTTTTCTTTCTTCTTAGAACAGAATCAGAAAATGTAATTGTTGGATCACAAAGTATGTACATTGTTAATTTTATTTTATTTTAAAGATTTTATTTATTTGAGAGAGAGCATGCACACACACACAAGCGGGGGCAGAGGCAGAGGGAGAAGGAGACTCCCCGCTGAGCAGGGAGCCCGAAGTGGGGCTCAATCCCAGGACCCCGAGATCATGACCTGAACTGAAGGCAGATGCTTAACCGACTGAGCCACCCAGGCTCCCCTACATGATTAATTTTAGATGATATCACCAAAATGGTTGAAACACTTCACCACTGCCCCTCCCATGAGCTTCTCCTGAGCATATTATGTGTACTGTGGGAAGGGGCAGGCTGACCTGGAATACCTTCAAATGAATGCAGTTGTGAGTATAACAAGGCTATGATTCATGGTTTGTGAGGTATTTTGGATTTTATGGATCTGCTAAAGCCTTATCAGATCACATGCCACCTTCCCTTTTCTGACCATAGCTGAGTCTGGTGTGGCTGAATTTACCTCCCACCATGACATAGCCACAAGCATTGATCTGCCTTCCATCCTTGTTCTTAGATTTATGTGATATCTGCTTGAAGGAGAGAGGGGGTGGGTGGGAGTAGATGCAAAAAAAAAAAAAAAAAAAAAGTGCAGAGGCAGATAAAAGGAATTGTGGGAGCAGAAAATCAGGCTCAACTCAGAGACAACAGGAGAGAGGTCAGATGACAGGATAGAATCTATTTCCTTATTTTCATGCTCTCTTAGCTCAGAAACATTTTCAGCTTAATAGCCGCTGACATTGATAACACCCTCCTGTAATCTACTGCAAATCCAACGGACTCTGTTGTCACACTTCATCAGCTGTGTTATAAAATTCCCAATAACTGGCACACAATTGATGTGCTATCCCTGGAAACCTGGCCCCAAAATAAATGGCTTCAGAGGGTTTAATGATAAATCAGAGGCATTCTGAATGGATTCTGAAAGTATTCTAAGTCAGTACAAATCCTCCCTGGGATCCAATTTGGCTGGTTCATTACCAGTTCTATCTCCTGCATGCAAAAAGATGATAAACAACATTGTAAAGATGTAGATGAGATTGGCTTTTGTGACCTAATGTTTCTGAAGAAGAGAGAAGCACAAGTTGTTAAAATGAGAAAAACGCACACAGCCCACTGGCAACAGATTATTATAAGCTTCATTTTGAACAGGAATCATTTGTGATTTTATTACCTTGGAGACAAAGGCCTGGTTGCTTTTGCATTTTATAGTGGCTTAATTAACCTTTGTGCACAGAGGTCTGGTACACCTACTCCATGAACTAAAAGCCACTTTAAAAAATTGGAAGCCACCCGCTATTTCTGATAGACTCAGACAGAGATTCTGCAGGGGTATATAGTGGTGAAAGCAGAAGTTTCCAGGACCGGGCTCCAGGGGATGAGTCCCAGCAAGTGCTTAACTTCTCTGTGTCTCAGTTTCTTCCATTTGGAAAATGGGCTAACAGGAGTTCGTTCCTCATTTCTTTTAAGTGGCACTAAGAAGAACCAATAAATAACCAAATGTGAAAGGGATAAATGACCAAATGCCAAGAGGGAAAGTTTAATTAATCAATCTAGCCTCAGAGAACTCATTAAGAATCGTTAGAGTTTGGCTGTCACTTCAGGTTAAGAAATCTCTATGTAAGGTGTTGGAATTGACAGTAGAGTCTCATGTTTCTGTTTATGGCCTTTGGAGGCAAGCTGACCTGGGTTTAAATTCTTGCTCTGCTACTTAGTAGCTGGGCGACCTTGGTTTCTTCACTTACCCTATGGTGATTAACGGGAGGACTGTGTGTCACACAATGCATACCCAATACAATGTGAGGGCGTGATGCATGGCTGTGTATGACTGATCGAAAACAAAGTAAAGATTTTGTTTCTGTGGTACTGAGTTATCATTTCAAATTAAAGGTGATCTAGCTTAGAAGTGAGGCCCCTGGATCCTGGTCCTGATGGCCTGGTCAGCTCCCAGCTGTACCTTGTATATTAGGTGTAAACTTGGGGGATTCGCTGACCTGCCCTGTGCCTCAGTTTCCTTATCTGTAAGTGAGTACAGTTAGGGTACCCACCTCAAGGGGTGTCCCAGAGGACTAAAAGGTGCCCAGCTCACAGTAAACACTAGGTAAGTGTTGGATGTTACCAGGCACTTCTGTGCATACAGGTGGAGAAACATTTGGGAACCAGGTAGAACAGTTGCTACATTTCTAAAACTAGAAATCCCTACCATCTGCCTTTTCCTTCTAATTTCATTACTTGCCTCTAAGAGTATTAAGCAAAGAATATTCTGGTTAACCGAGAACCAGAGTTATCAGGACACTCATGAATTGAGATTTACTATGTAATGTGCACTGCATTAGTAGACGTATAAAAGGGCAGACCCAACTCTGTGGGGACTGAAACTTACATAAAATGGGGGCCCTCTTGATGAATAGGAACACAAAATCACAAGTACAAAAATGGGCACAAAGGTGAATATTTACTTAACAATGAGAAAAGAAAGCCCAACAAATCACTGGTTCAAGCTGGTCCTGCACGGGAGGCAAACGAAATGCAGATTGCGGGGAATGACCTGTGCATGGGGTGATAGTCTAGGTGGTAAGAACAGCAGCTGTAGGAGTGGCAAAGTGGACGACCACATTGACAGTCCTCTCCTGGAACAGAGGTCAATAAAATTAAATCCACCAGTCAATAAAGGCGATTTATTACATGTAAGCTGAAGGTGATTTATTTTCCTTTTTTAAGACTTCACAGATAGAGGCACCTGGGGGGCTCAGTTGGTTGGGCATCTGACTCTTGGTTTTGGCTCAGGTCATGATCTCAGAGTCTTGAGACTGACCCCTGGGGTGGGCTCTGCACTCTGCAGGGAGTCTGCTTGA